AACATCAACAAACAGATCTCAGTCAATCTTCTAAACAGCCCCGTGCAACGCCAGTTATCATGGCTGCTTTACAGCATCACGGGGCTGTCTGACTCTCAAGGTTGCAGTCTTCTGCCTCACGCTTCTTGCTTAACCTGCATAACCCCATCACGGTCATCTTAGAGACTAAAAGGAAGCCTTCTTGAGCGTTTTTATCTATTTAATCACATTGTGGCTTTCAAAAAATGGCATCACAGCCCATTTCCCCCCTTACCCCACATGGTTTAAGAAGTAATAAGAACCTTCAAAGCCTCAATATAGTCATTGTAGTATTTGCTGATGAAACCTTAGCTTTTTAGGGATTTACTAGTTATTCCAGGTCAGAATTCAGCAAACCTTTTCTGTATAGGGCTGGATAATAAGTATTTTAGGCTTTGCAGGCGAGCAATCTCTGTCACAACTACCCGACTGCCATTGTAGCATGAAAACAGCTATAGATGATATTAAAGGACTAAAAGACAAACCTCTAAATACAATTTTAGTTATGCACACTGAAATTTGAATTTCATAGAATCTTCAAGTCACAAAATAATAGTCCTTCTATAATTTTATAAAAAAACATTTAAAAATATAAAAACCATTCTCTTGGTTTGAAAAAGCCAAGTCTCTGTCCTAAAGGAGCTTACCTTCTTTAGTGAAGACTGTGGGCACAGACATACAAATGAAACCCAGAGAAATGACTATATACCGGACATGGTGAAAGAAAAAACAAAACAAAACGGTGGAGGGTATATCATTTATGTTAGGAGTTTCATATCTGTACATTTTAATCATGATTGTACTTTGCAAAGCATGTGACAGGACATGTAAAGCCCGGTGAATTTATGTGGAGAAAAGAAGTGATCAGAGCTTTTGCTAAGAAAAGCCCAAGTGGTCATCAGCTTTCATTAGAGCAGTTCTTTTTGACATATTGGAAACTTCCTCCGAAATACTTACTAAAACATTCCTCAGCTCAAATGCCGAGTGGCATTGTGTCCCCACTCACAGTTACAGCACTGCACTATTGGCAAGGTTTTCATTTCCTATGATTTATATCAATAAAGGAGGCTAATTAAAGATATAAAAAATAATACTGAGTGTTCACTATATAATAAGCACTGCTTTAAGCAATTAACATGTATTATCTCATTTAATCTTTACAACAATACATTGAGGTAGGGACTATTTTTTAAAAAAAATTTAGTAGTAGTAGTAGGGAATGATGGCCCAAAAAGGCTACAGGGCCAAGGTCACACAGCAAAGTTGTGGAATAGGATTTGAACCCAGGTATCAGATTCTTTTTTATTTTTTTTGATAGAACAGGAAGGAGAGAGGGGGAGAGAGAGAGAGAGAGAGAGAGAGAGAGAAACATCGATGTGAGAGTGACACATAGACTGGTTGCCTCCAGAACGACCCTAACCAAGGCCGGTGACAAACAAACCGAGGTACATGCCCTTAGTGGGACCGAACCTGGGACTCTCTGGTCCGCGGGCCGATGCTTTAACCGCTGAGCCGAACAGGCCAGGGTGAAGATATCAGATTCTTGATCCTCTGCTCTTAACCACTCACATCCCACCTCCCAATGCATTCCCGGCCCTCCACATCTGCAGGTTTCACATCTGCAGATTCAAACAGTCACAGATATATATAAAGTTACGTTGTTACTGACAATTACTATGTAGTTAGGCCTATGATGGTTGCATCTGTACTGAATATGTACAGGAATTTTTCCTCGTTATTATTCTCTAAAAAATACAGTGTAACAACTACTAATATAGCATTCACATTGTCTTGGGTATTATAAGTAATCTAGGGATGGTTTAAAGTATACGGGGGGAAGTGTGAAGGTTATATGCAAATACCATGCCATTTTTATAACAGACTTGAGCACTGTAGATTTTGGTATTCTTGATCCTTGTGGGTCCTGAAACCAATACTCAGAGGATACTATGGGACAACTGCACTAAAGGTTCTTGTCATTAATGGCTCTGTCACTCACTTGGTATTCTTTCCTCAAGATAGTGTGTTACGTGTGCACATAGGTACATACAACACTCATCAGGTCTGGATAGTCTTTACCCTTCCCTGCATCATTGCCCTGCTCCAATTCCTGCATATATCCAAATATCTGCTTTCACACTGTGAGTAGGTATGTTGATATGGGAAGTCACTTGAACAGTAAAGGAATGTGGGGCTAGATTTCAAGAGTCCTTGGTTCTAGTTCAGGTTTTGTAACTCTGTGACCCTGTAAAGATCACTTCACCTCTGGGAGACACAGTTTCTTCATCTACTAAATAACACTTATCTCTGTAACATTTTTGCAAAAATGATCAAATGACACAATGTATGTGGAAGCATTTTATATAAAAGGAAGGGGTGATAGAGGGTTATTATTTTTTATTACACACTGCCTTTTTAACCTTTCCTCTCCAACTCCTTCCTTAATCATTGCGAAGAAACAACACATTTGATAACCTTGGTATTTCTCAGAATCCCAGCCCCTTTTCTCGCCTGCCACTTCCTTCCTTCTTTTTATTCACTGAGGAGAAATACAATGGTCAGCAAGACAAAGATGATCCTTCCCCTTCCCCAGGTCAGAGAAGACAAGACAAACCCACTGGTGTGCTCGAGCCAGCTGGTACCATCTTATCGATTTCTTTCCAACCTCATGTTCAGAGAAGTCGTACTGATGGCTTGAACTTGGCAACAATTGGAACAGTTGGAAGTATTTTACACTATGGAAACCAGCAAATGCTACAAGTCACTCCTCCCCACATCCCCTTTTCTCCAGAGAACTGGTTGTTGAACATTTACCAGCACATCTTTGGCTAGCGAAGCAAAATAATAAAATGGTGCAGGTGCTAGAATGGAGATAGACAACACCAGACTGGGAGCAGATAGGGAGGCACGCGTCCTGGTTGTGGGGGTTGGGCAGAGGCATTCAGAGGTGTCCTGGAGAGATGAGGTTTAAGCTGAGACCTAAATAATGAGAGGAGCTAGCCAGGCCAAGGGGAGGGAGAAGAGAGTTTCAGGGAGAAGTAACAACACGTGCAGCCCCAGGGTATTAGAGCAGCTGAAGGAAGGGAGGAGGAGAGAAGAATGAAGCTGGAGAGGTAAGAGGTTTAACTTGACCCTGAGAGCAATGGGTGGCCACCAGTGGGCTTTGAGCAGGCAGGGTCAGGGTTATGAGTGTGGGATTCAGAGCAGAGAGGAGGCATTTGAATTCCAGCTCTGCCCGCTGGGGACCTCAGACAAGCTTCTTACCTCCTCTGAGTCTCATCTGTAAAAAAGAGGGTTGAATAGCACTCATTCCTCCTGGGGTGGTTGTGAAGCCACAGGTAGAGTGCTCAGCACCATGCCTGGCTCCTCCGAGTTGCTTGGTAGGCATCCACGCACTGGTCAGCTAAGTGCGAAACAGATGCACACATTCTGTAGGAGGGGAGCTGTTTCTGCAACCCCTTCCCACCTAGAACACCATCATTCTGCTGGTTTTTATACTCTGGGTGGTGACCATTAGTAGATTGTGAAATCAATTTAGTAAGCCTTGAGCAGCACTAAAATAACAACAACAACAATAATAATAAGGATAATGGTAATAAAAATACAAAGATGTAGGAGTCAATGAAATTGGATTTAAAAATACCCAGCACCGTAGTACATTACGTTGCAAGGTAAGTTTTGTTTTGTGTTTGTGTGCACGAGGCTGCTGTGTAAAGTTTATTCCCGAAGGCTGCAGTGAAAAAGTGTAAAAGCCCCTGCTCCAGCTTTAATGGAAGCTTTGGGGACCGATGAGGGGGGATGAGACAAACCTGGCTAGCATCGCTTTCTCCTGCTTCAGGAAATGAAAATGTCTCAGTTAGGGATTTATTCCCCTGGGTTTCCAAGGTGTTTTAGCTTTTAATAAAAACGAATGCTCCTTGGGCCAGATAGGACCCTAACCTTTATCTGTTGTCTAGCAGCCAGAGTAATTGACAGTCCATGGAAGTGACCGAAGGCCAGGAAGGGAGAGTAGGGTGGGTGTGTGAATGGGGGGAAGGGGTGCCAAGGACGTCCCACTGCCTTTCGGTTACTAAGCTCAGTTCTGACTTCAAACTCGGTAACTAAAACTGTCCAAGGCAAGCACTGCCCAGGCAGTGGCTTGGTGCACGAGGGAACCAAGTAGTAATTGACATTTAGTTTGGTGTGTCCCAGAAAGATGACTGTATATGTGAATATATTTTAGAATAATTTATTTTCACCACATGTCAAAACACATCCAAGTTCCCCTTTGGAGTTGCAAAAGCCTTTTGGCATTTCTTTTTCCCTTGCAATTTAAAAAATGAAAAGTAATGGCAGATGCCTGGTCAGTGTTTCAGAGGAAAAAAAACAAGCACCGCATCACGTGATGATTTAGTTTCCTGAGTCTCCACAGGCTCATTCCCCAGGCATATGCAATTGGCACTAGATTATCTGCCGACATTTATTGACAAAGAAATTAATCTTTTCCAATGATGTTTTTTTAAAGCCCATTCTTTACAGGAAGTTGCAGCAGAACATCAGAGCTCATTCCCTTTCCCTTTCCCTCCTGACAAAAGTGGCTAAAAGGAACCTCTTAAGCCCTTGATTCCACTGAGGCAGGTGAGAGAGCACACGAATAAAATAGGCCCAGTTCAGGCAATCACAGAAATCACAGCCACGGGGAGACCACCTATCACGGGGATTTAGGAGGATATGTACGTGTGTGTGGGGGGGGATGAGGGGGGCAGCCAATGTGAGAACAGACACCCTAAACATGACAACTGTGTATTTGGTTAAGAGAAGAAGTCCCTATCAATGACCTGCAGTTACCCACTTCTTGGCTTAACTGCACCCTTTCATTCCCACTCATCAAAATCAGTTTTAGTGGAGGGAGAAAGCAATATACACTTCCTACATAATAAGACAGCGCGGAGTCAGGAACTGCCCACTTTCATTCCCCAAACACAGCTGAGAGCTCCTCTTACCTGACGCTGGCCCGGCCCCTGGCAGGCTCTGCTGCTGCCTTCAATAGGACTGCCAATTTCTCACCCAACCTGTTAATAATTGAGCATCCACCATGCACACGGACTAGTGCTTGCACAGAAACACACCAAGGAATAGAGAAAATTTTGTCTCTGGTAACCTCCATGCTCCTTGAAGAAACAATACATTGAATAAAAGTACGCACGAGAGAATGAAGAATTGAAAGCAGCCTAAAGTTGTGCCTCTGGAGCTTTTCTGTTACATGGAATTCTGCCAAATGAGTTTTAGGCTAGGCTCCGTGGGGGTTATTTTCTAAGTGTTCATAGATTTTATCCTGTCTGTGTCATCTGTGACATATGCCAGCAACGTGAACCTTGAAGACAATTATGAAAAGACTCCAGCACACAAAAGGATACAGAGACTCCAGGAAACTAAGAAATGTGGATGGAGCCTTTGTGTGTCAGTGCTGATGTGGTGTTAAATATCTGTGTCTGGCAAGAGCAGGCTGAGGAAGGTGTCATGGTAAGGCGGCTTCTTGGCTAGGCAGCATTTGTGGAAGTGTTTTTGTGGGTGTGTGACTTTGCTGGTTTGCAGACATGGAGTTGAGAAGGTAAACAAGGGCAAGGGAACATGGAGAGGAGGGAGAATTTTCCTCACCATGAAGAAAACTTTCCTTGGTAATCAGAAAAGCTTATAATACCAGCATCAAAGAGTTCTTTCTTTTGAATAAAATTTTAGCTTTATTAAAAGGAAACCTCAGTGGAGGAAATACCTTAGAAGACAATGTTTAGGAGGCAAACACAATCATAAATACATTCAAATCTAAATGTCAACTCCTTCATGTACATATATTAAAGAAAACAAGGCACTAGACAGTTAATAAATGATATAAAATCTCAAATTAATCCTCTCTGAATAATTTGATTATTCTGTTCTATTGGTTTCCCATTAAAGATCATAGCACACAGCAATCATTTAAACCAAGAAAAATATGGGGACACCACAATGGTTGGTTTATCTCCAAATAACATTTATAGTGGTCCTGATGGAACAGGAAATAGAGAAATGCCTCCTCGGACAAAGTGGCAGATCACCTTCCATACAATGAGAGCCCTAGAAAGGTTGAGCTATACCCTGAAAAACCTATACCCTTTTATCTCTGCATTCTGGACCAAGAGCTAGAACCCCAGGTGTAAGAGGAAAACACCCCGTCTGCATTCTAACAACCCTTCATTGATGACCCAGCCCTTGACAAGTTTGTTCCCAAGGAGATCCTAAGGGACACATGGCAAGTGAACTGATTTCCCCTCATTTCCCTTCTGACTCTCAAAGAAATTACAGCATTCCCAATATAATTCAAAGGCAGGTGTTACAGAGAGTTGGGAGCAGAGAGGCAAAGGTATTTACAGAGAATCATTAGGTTGGGGTTAAGTGATCTCAGGAAAAAGGTACTGAACCTTGCAGAAATCCTTGGGATCTTGGGGAGAAGCAGCAATGACCAAGATACAAGACGTGGCAGAAGTAAAGGAGATAGCTTCTATGACCCTGCCCGCTCATCCTACAAAGGGATCAACTAGTTAAAGAAACTTTGTACATCCATGTAATGGAATTCTGTTATGTATCCACTGTGATCCACCACCTCCTACCTTTCCAGCCCACTCCCTTCAGTACCCCAATTCCAATAATCTTTTGATTTCCTCTGGACCTCCAATCCATTATTCTACAACATTTCCTTCTTCTTCACCTCCTTGATGTCCCCTCTTCCCTCCTAACCCAGTTTATACAAATGGCCCATCACTATAATTAATCTCTTGCACGTACCCACAACTCTTTTACCTCTCTCGCTTGCCTGTCTTTTGGCAAAACTATGATCCAGTTCTTTGCCAACTCTGTTCCTGGATCCTTGCTGCTGAACATGGCTGGAGAAAAATGGACAACTGCATTGAATAAAAATTCATGACCACAAGACTCAATTAGCCCTAACTGCTGCCCAATAATCATCACTCACTCCATCCCTTTACACATTGTCACTCTCCTTGGCAATGGTTTCACGTTGACTTCTTCTCCCCTCAAACCTCCAACACCTTCTCCCCCGTCCTCATTCTCAATTGATAACCTTGCTTCCCACTTCATGGAAACAAACAAAGCAATCCAAAGAGAACAACCACAGACTCCTACCACCCCACCTCTTCCCCTACTGGAATCTGTACACATAGACTCTGCCTCTCCACCTGTAACCACAAATGCTCCCCATTCTCCATTTGTGTACTAGATCCCATCTTCCTACAGGCTTACCTACTCTATAGGATTCACTCTAGCAACTTTCTCCTCATTAACATAATCAATTTCTCTCTCTTACTGAACCATTACCAGCAGCATCCACAGATGTGGTTATTTCCACCTTAAAAAAAAGTCCCTCTTTTGCTCCACTTATGTAGCTATCACCTCATTTTTCTGATCCTCTTACAGCAAATTTCCTCAAAAGGGAGTTTCTTTATTTCTTTCCACCCATTATCTCTTTTCAGCTTTATTAAGGTATAATTGAAGAACCCTAGAGTACACAAATTTAAAGTGTACAATTTGATCAGTTTTGATATATGTATGCATCATGAGACCATTACCACAATCAAGATAATGACTTATCCACATCCTCAAGAGTTTCCTTCTGTATCTTTCCTTCTCTCTTACAGCCAATGCAATACGGCTTTTGCCCCCACCAGTCCAAAGAAACTGCTCATCAAGGTCACCAGTTATCTCCATGTTGCTAAATCCAATAGTCAATCCTTAGACCTCATCTTATTTGACCTCTCTGCAGCATTTGACCTAATTTTTCTTCCATCTTGATGCACTTTCTTCACTTAGCTTCCAGGACATGATGCTTGATTGGTTTTCCTTCTACCTCACAAGTACCCTTTATTAGTTCTCCCCCTGCTCACTATCATCTTATGCTAGCAAGTCCTGGGTTTAGTCCAGGTCCTCTTTTTCTCTTTGTCTACACTCAATCCTTTCATAATCTTCAACATGGTTAACCCCAAATTTATATCTCCATCCCAGACTTCTAATCCATACTTGCATATCCAATTGATCATTTAACACTTCCATGTGGCTGAGTAGAGTTTTCTCAGATTTAACATTTCAAAGCTGAACTCCTGAACCCTCCTCCCCCAAGAACTGCTCCACCTGCAATCATCTTCATCTCAGTCAATGGCATTTTCATCCTTCCAGAGGCTCAGGCTGCTAAAAACTTATCGTTATTCTCGATTCTTTTCTTTCTCTTACCACTAGCAGCAAGTCCATCAGGTTGGTTCTATTTTCAAAACACATCCAGAATCTAACCACTTTCACTGCCTCCAAAGCTTCCACCCTGGTCTGAGTCACTGCTAGTTCTTGTTTGAATCACTACAATGGTCTCCTAATCTTCTTTCCTCTGTGTGGCAGCCATGTTGATTTTTTAAAAAATGAAGCCAGGTCACATCATCCCTCGGTTCAAAATCCTCCAATGGCTCCCCATTTCTCTCAGAATAAAAGCCAAGGTCTTTACAATGGCCGCAAAGGGCCCTAGCATTCTAGCCCTGCTGCCAGCATCTCTCTGACCCCTTCCTGAGTTCACTCTTTTACTCCAGCTACCGTAGCCTCCCTGCTGTGCGGTAGACGTGCCTTTGCACTGGCTGTTCCTTGTGCTTTAAATCAATTTTTGGTGTATGAATTATATCTCAATTTTATAAGAGCTTTCCCCCAGATACCTGTTTGGATTACTCCTTGACCCATCAAGGCTTTGCTCAAATGTGATTTTTTCAGTGAAAACTTCAATCACCCTACCACCCTTCTAGCTTTTCTGATCCCTTTTTCTGATCCCTGCTGTATCTTTCTTTTTAGATATGTTTTTATTGATTATTTTAGATAGAGGGGAAGGGAAAGGAAGAGAGAAATTGAGATAGAAACATTGATTGGCTGACTCGTGCATGCCCTCTACTGGCGATTGAGCCTGAAACCCAAGCATGTGCCCTGACCAGAAATCGAACCAGCAGCCTCTTGGTGCACGGGATGATACTCAATCCACTGAGCCACACTGCTAGGCATATCCTGCTGTATCTTTTAATCCATACAGTATATATCAGCTTCCAACATAATATATACTTCACTTATTATGTTTATTGTTATTTCTCCCCACTGAAATGTAAGCTCCACAAATTCAGGGAATTTGTCTGCTTGTTCACTTATGTAGTATAAATGTCTAGAAAAGTACCTTGCACATAAATAAATATTGATTAATAAATAAATACATTAATACCAAGCAGATATTAAAATTGATAATGCAGAAGAATCTTGAATTATATGGATAGTATTCATTTGTTCTTAAATGGAAAAAAAAAAACGATTATCAAACAATACATAGCTTATATGTATGATCCCCAAATTAGTAAGAAACAACAAAAAAAATGCATCACATATAGAAGGTGCATTAGGAGAAAGAAAGACATTAAAATACATCTCTGAGTGTCGATATTATAGATAGTTATTAATTGATTTCTTTAAAAATGAGCTTATATTTTCTAAACTCACAGGATTTGGGATCAGTAAGATTTGAGATCTAATCTATGCTTCATTTGTTACTGGTTATGTAATTCAACCTCAGTGACTTTGTTTTCTCACCTTTAAATGAAGATAATAACAGTACTAACCTCATTGGACTACTTTGAAGATTAAATGAAATAATACATGTAAAACACTCAGCACAGTGCTTGTCATATAATAGGCACTAGGTAAAATGTTAGCTGTTATTACTTATCTCTTTAAATACTGTACCTCTCTCTAGTCTTTATTCTCTTTCTGGAGCACTTATTAATCAGAAGTTGGACTACTAAGATTGAGTGTCCTTGCTTATTAAGTTTTCTCTTGTATATTCTATCTTCTTGTCTTTTTGTTCTGAGATTGACTTGACTTTTTTTAATGTTTCTATTGATTTTTTAGAGAGAGAGGAAGGGAGAGATAGAAACATCGACGTGAGAGAGAAACATTGATTGGCTGCCTCTTGCATGCCCCTTACTGGGAATTGAGCCTATAACCTAGGCATGTGCCCTGACTGGGAATTGAACTCAGATCTCTGTCCATGGGACAATGCTCAATGCACTGAGCCACACTGGCCGGTGACTTGACTTTTAAAACCAGTAAATACATTCAAAAAATTTCATCCACTGTATTTTAAATTTCTACTCTTTCCCCCTTACTTTATAGGTATTTATAAACAATATACACTATTGTTTTATGTATGTTCAATTTCTACCATAAGATACATATTCCAAGATCATTTTGTTCACCCAACACTATCTCTGAAATCTATCCATGTTGACAGATGTGGATCTAGTTTACAGGGTGGGGCAAAAGTAGGCTTACAGTTGTGAATACACAAAACACAGTTTATTCTTGTATTATTATTTATTAATTATTGTACTATTTTCCACACAAACAACTGTAAATCTACTTTTGCCCCACCCTTTTTAACTGCTGTGAGTGTTCCTCCATATTCATTCATTTAATAAATATTTATATGCACCAGCAATGTTTCAGAACTGTACTGGTTAGTGGCTGGAAAACACAGCAATAAAGAAAACAAAATATGAACATTTTATCCTTCCTCCATTAACAGACACTAGGTTTTGCCATGACAAAGAATGATTTGGTGAATGTCCTTGTGCAGGGTGTCTACTGCAAATGCTTCTCTAGGGAATATTTCTAGGGGTAAAACTGTTTCTCCCTAGATCACATTTTCAACTTTACCAGGTATTGCCAACTTGCTTTCCATTGTGTTGTATATATAGACTGAATGCCCAGCAAGCTGGGAAAATTCTCCATTTTATTCATCTTGCCCAACATTTGAACAGTCGTACTTTATTTTTGCCATTCTGATGGGCAAGGATCGGTACCTCTGGTTTACTAAGCATTTCTCCTAATTGTTAGGAAGGCTCAGAATCTCTTCTTATATTTATTGGCCCTTTAAATCTCCTTTGCCTTCTGCCTAAAGGTGCCCTTTGCTGCTCATTTTTGTAGTCAGTTGTTTGTCTTTTTCATACTGATATGTAAGGATTCTCCAACTATATAGTTTGGAAACCAACATATTTTGCTCTTTTATGTGTTAAAAATATTTTTTTTCCAATCTAGGGTTTGTGCCTTAACTTTATAGTGGCTTTTGCATAAAAGAGTTTTACCTCTTAATAGAATCTTTCCCTTTATGAACTGTTCATTTTGTGTACTGACAGAGAAATAATCTCTCCCTTGAAGACATAAAATATTCTCCTGTACTTCCTTCTAATAATTTTAAAGGGTTATTTTACACATTCAGGCCCTTAATCTATCTAAAATTATCTGTATAAGGTGAGGCATTAATCTATTTTTCTTTTCTCATAAGAGCTAAATCACTTATTAAATAACCCTTCCTATTCTCACTTATTTTTAATTTCTTCTCTCCCCTCTGCCAAGTTCCCGCATATATCTGAATATTGATTCTGGGGTTTCTACACTGTTACAATGAGTAGATCTGAGATTTTAGTCAGAGTCTTTTTAAAAATCTCTCTTCTAGTCCCTAAATGTCCTATCTTTCTTCCAATCTCACAACTTCTTCAGACTTCACTTACACTGACCATATTTTTAAACTCGTCTCTTTGTTTATAGAGGAAGAAACAAGATGCAGCTATTTTATACTTCCCGTTCAAGTTCACAAAGAAGACAGCAATCTTGGACCAGGTGATATCTCATTGTGGTTTGGGTTTGCATTTCCCTGATGATTAAGTGATATTGAGCATCTTTTCATGTACCTGTTGACCATCGAGATGTCCTCTTTGGGCACCATACATAGTTATTACATTACTATTGACCATATTCCCTATGCTGTACTGTACACCCCATGACTATGTTGTAATTACCAATTTGCACTTCTTAGTCCCTTTAAGTCTTTAAATCATTTTGAGTTACTTTTTTGTGTATGGTATAAGATAGTAGTCTAGTTTCATTCTTTTGCCTGTGGCTGTCTAGTTTTCCCAATACCATTTATTGAAAAGGCAGTCCTTTCACTATTGTGAAGTCTTGCCTTTTTTGTCATAAATTGACCATCTATGTGTGGGTTTATTTATGGGCTCTCTATTCTGTTCCATTGATCTATTTGTCTGTTTTTATGTCAATACCACACTGTTTTGATTACTATAGCTTTGTAATGTAGTTTCAAATCAGAGTGTGATACCTCCAGCTTTGTTCTTTTTTTTTTTTTAAGACTGCTTTGGTTATTCAGGGTCTTGTGTGGTTTCACATAAATTTTAGGATTGGTTGTTCTATATCTGTTGTTCTGTATCTTTCACCTCTTTGGTTAAATTTATTTCTAGATATTTTATGCCTTTTGATGTAATTGTAAATGGTATTGTTTTCTTAATTTCTCTCTTTTTAAATTGAGTTCATTGGGGTAACATTAGTTAACAAAACCATATGGGTTTCAAGTGTATAACAACAAAACATCATCTGCATACTGCATTGTGCTCCCATTACCCAAAGTAAAGACTCTTTCTATCCCCATTTATTCCCCATTTGCCCTCTTCTACCCCCCACTCCCCTTTCCTTCTGGTATCACCATACTGCTGTCTTTACCTGATGTATATATATATATATTTCCGAATCCCTTCATCTTTTTTTCACCCAGTCCCCAACCCCCTCCCCCATGACAGCTGGAGGTATCATGACAGCTGTTGGTCTGTTCTATGTATCTATGCTTATGTTTCCATTTTGTTTGTTAAATTATTTTGTTCATTAGATTCCACATGTACATGGGATCATATGGTGAATACTTGTAGTGAGAAGGGTATCTTTGTCTTGTTCTTGATCTTAGAGGAAAAGCTTTCAGCTTTTCACTGTTGAGTATGATGGAAAAGCTTTCAGTTTTTTACTGTTGAATAAGCCATGGGCTTGTCATATGTAGCCTTTATTATGTTGAGGTATGGTCCCTCTGTGCCCACTTTGTTGATAGTTTTTATTATAAATGGATACTGAATTTTGTCAGATGCTTTTTCTGCATCTATTGAGATGATCATATGACTTAAAAATGTTTTTATTGATTTTTTAGAGAGAGAGGAAGGAAGAGAGAGATAGAAACATTGATGTGAGAGAGAAACATCAACCAGCTGCCTTCTGTATGCCCCCTACTGGGGATGGAGCCTGCCACCTGCACATGTGCCCTGAACAGGAATCGAACTGGGACCTCTCAGTCCATGGGATGATGTTTAATCCATTGAGCCACACTGGCTGGGCAATCATATAATTTTTATCCTTCATTTTGTTAATGTGGTATATTACTTTGATTAATTTGTTAATGTTGAATCATCCTTGCATCCCTGGACTAAATGACACTTGATCATGGTATATGAACCTTTTAATGTATTGTTAAATTTGGGATGCTAATATGTTATTAAAGATTTTTGCATGTATGTTCATCAGAGATACTGGACAGTAATTTTCTTTCCTTGTGGTGTCCTTGGTTGGTTTTCATGAGTAATACTGGCCTTGTAAAATGAGTTTGGAAGCATTCTCTCCTCTTCAATTTTTGGAAAGAACTTAAGAAGGCTTCTTATTAAGTCCTCTTTGAATGTTTGGTAGGCTTTACCAGTGAAGCCATCTGGCCCTGGACTTTTGTTTATTGGGAGGTTTCTGATTACTGGTCCAATCTCCTTACTAGCAATCAGTTTATTGAGATTTTATATTTCTTCATGATTTAGTCTTAGAAGGTTGTATATTCCTAGGAATTTATTCATTTCTTTTAGGTTGTCCAGTTTGCTAAGATGTTAACAAGGGAAGCTAAGTGGGAGGTATATAGAAACTTTCTGTATTATCTTTGAAAATTTTCTGTAATTATAAACTATTTTAAAAATAAAGTTTATTAAAAATAATAATCAGCCCTGGCCATTTTGGCTCAGTGGTTAGAATGTTGGCCCACAGATCAGAGAGTCCTGGGTTCGGATCCCACTAAGGGCACGTACCTCGGTTGCAACCACTCGATATGTCTCTCTCACATTAATGTTTCTTTCTCTCTCTCTTCATCCCTCTCTATCTGAAGATAAATGCAAAAATGTCCTTGGATTAGGATAAAAAAAAAATCACACCTTATGTAAACACAGACAATAATTCCTAGGTGTTCTTAAAGCTGCAGTTACTAACCACCACGGAAAACAACTCAGTAATTAACAGATAGCTAGTCCTGCTTGGTATTCTAATCAGCACCACTTCTTGAACTAATTACCAATGAACCTTTGTCTTCTAGGTTATTGCTTACTTATAGATCTCCACAGAGGGTACTCAGTTATACTCTAAAGCTCCTCTGAGAAAATAGCAAGAACAAATGAATATAAACTGCAGTGGGAGGGTGTTGAGTTAGAGTTTTGGTGTGCTGTGAAGTCAAGCTATGTGATATTCCTTGTTAATCATATTGCTGACCATATATCAGTTTGGTCCAGCCTGGCTTCAGCCCATCTTGAAGTAATTCAGGCAAGAAAATGAATTTCTACAATTTCCAGAAGATCCTAAGAGTTTTTGTATCTTAAGTAGAAAATTTCCATAAACTAAAAGTAGGAATAAATGGTAACAATCACAGAACTTGCTCATCAAATTGTCTATAGTCTCTGCCATTCTTTCCATCAACACATGATTTATTAATTTTGTTCCAAAGATTTGAGTTCAGGCAGCATAAATCATGAATAAAGATTAGTTTAACAGTCACAGTGCCCCATGGGACAATGTTTCAAGTGAAGAAAACTCAAAATTGTCACAATGTGAAAATAATATGACAGTTGTATCAATATTTGAAAATTGAAATGATATTCAATATCCTTACAGAGTCAGAGTATAAATCTTATTTCTGCTTATTTTATGCATACTCTAAAACTTTTCTTTTTAATTTTTTATTCATATTTTCCCCTGTGAAAATGTTTTGAAAAGCAAATCTAAGATCATCCTGACCTGCCTCCAGCTATTAAAGCAACACTAGACACTGACCTCCTGCTACTGCTTTCATGACTTAAATACTTAGAAAAACAATATATTACCAGGCCCCCAAGCCATTTACAGCAATGATATTCTGCTTTTTTTTCTTTTTTTTTGTACATTAAAAAAAGAGAGAACTGTCTGTCAGTGTAGCAAATACCGGTTTTAATATTTAAAATTATATCACCTTGTTTCCACTGGTTTATTCTACCTGACTCTTCATGAAATCCTAATTGTTTATGTACTCAAAAACATAATTGTGATTTAGAAAAATGACCAGACAATAAATACTCCTGTTAGAAGTTAAGTACTCACCACAATGAATTAAAAGTGGCTGGGATTCAGGAGAAATGGCTCATTATTCAGGTAATTCAATTTTCTACTATTTATATTATTCTCATGTAGCTGATGGCATAGTTAGTACAGACAATATGATGTGTCAGAGGCAATTCTAGCTATGATTTCATACATTCTATGACATCTCTTGTTATAACCATTTATTCCAAATGCCTGAATTCTGGGTGTGCTGAATGAAGAAAAGGGAGAAATACAGTAAGCAGAACGAAGCAAATCAAAGTCCTTCACACTAAATTCCCTCTCCTCTTCACCAAAATATTTTGTTGGAAAGGTTTCAATACATTTATTTATTTATTTACCAGAAATGAGGAATACTGATCTACATGCAGGGCTTGCATAGAGGTTATCAAAATAAAATTTTAGAGGATTATGAAAGGGCTGAATTCAGTATGTTAAATGTCTAGTCAGAGATACCAAGATTCAGAGTCAGACATCTGTCTTTTAAAAGTGACCACCATAAGGCTGGTAAAAGAAGGTTCACAGAAAGGTAAAAATAAATAATACCAAAAGTTATATTTTCTATTATAAAAATTATTTTTGGTAAGCAGTATAATTTGTTTCTTTTTTGTTCTACATTGTTCCCTATACATTTACATAAATACAGTTGAATTTATTTCATTAACTAGTATTGGGGAATGAATAAAACTTAATTAAAATTCAAATATAATTTCATCATGATGTATTCTACCCTAGTATTCTCTGGATCTAATAAGAAATTATGCCTCATCAAACATATATAATTTGGCTTGAAGTGGTAATAGTAGGAAGCCAATTTTATGGTTATAATAAAGTTGTCTATGCTGGGTATTTTCATTTCAGAGTGCAATATGCATGGGGTAACCTAGGTCCCCAGGCAATCATTCAGTCACTGATGGTCACTCTGGGTGGAGCTTGTTTACATCCTATAATCACACCCTGAACAGTCACTGCTAAATATAAACACAAGGAAGGATATTAATGATTGTTTAACAACTTCAGTGATACCACTAAACAATAACATTGATGGACTCGATACTGACAGCATTACAGCTGCCATGGTTACTCTTTCACAATGTAAACAAACAAGCATCTCCAAAACTTAAGAGAAATATCCCATTTCTTGGTCCTATAGAGCTAGGGAGGCAGCATCACGTGAAGAAACAAGGATGGTTCTATGCCATGAACATGGTAGTTTTACAATTTGAACCCAGGGAAGGAATTCAGGGCTAACTTGCCAATGTTTGGGGAACCTGTGTTCACAGGAGGCACACAGTGTACAACTGCTGATTGATTCTCAAATTCAATTAACTGGCTAAATCCCTGTGGGCTAGTCATTTCACTTGCATAGACCTTAACTTCTTCATTTGGAAAATGAGGGTATTAGATGTTCCACAGTAATTTCCTTCCAGTCTAAGGTTGTGTAACAATAATAATTTATGTCATATATATAACTACATGCTTTCAATAATAGCAAAAATAATAAAACTTAATATGAATGTGTGATTCTATAAGTTGTGACTGAATCCATTTTTTTATTATTTTTAAAAATATTTTTTCTTTATTGATTTTAGAGAGAGAGGAAGGGAGAGGGAGAGATAGAAACATTGATGAGAGAGAACATTGATTGGCTGCCTCCTGCATGCCCCCTACTGGGGATTTGGCCCACAATCTGGGCATGTGCCCTGAACTGGCGACCTCTTGGTGCATGGGTCGACGCTCAACCAATGAGTCGAACTGGCCAGGCTATTATTATTTTTTAATAAGAAATTTTCTTTTTGTCCATGTGACTGTGAACATTTGTATTTTCTAAGCTTTAGTTTCCTTAAAACTAAATTAAGATAATGGCACTTATCATTGTTTATAACATGTTGTGAGCATTATCTAGTTAATATATGTAATGTTTGGTCATGTGTGTGGCATATAGTTGGTATTTTTTACATTATTTCTATTGTCTTCTAACCCTCTTTATTTCGTTTATGAAACAAGTGAGCAAAGAATAAAAATTCTTGATTGTCCATTTGGAAACTATTTTTATGAATTGTTACAAAATATTTTTTTTTTTTATGATTAGAATTGTTTAGAAAAGAAACATCTGCTTTTCTTGGAAATAAATTTTTTAACAGAAAGAAAAATTCTAAAATAATGCAATTCTCTTTTAAAAGTTAAACTACAGTAATTATATACTCTATTGGCTATTTTGGAAGAAAAAATGTAGACAGTATTAATTGTAATATCCATGTAAACCAAGATAGAAAATTTGACCAACCTTAGGTAACTTGTCAAAATTACCAAGAAAGAAAATGCTTAGAATGCTATTGCTAACTATTGGAAAAAAAGAGGAAATGCTACATATAAAAAGAAAATGAAAAATCAAGCACCCACATTTTCTGCTTGAGTAAATGGCATAAAATATGTTTTCTGCAGACATATACTTATTATTTTGAGCACAAGAGAAATTTGATCTAAGACACTACACATTTTTAGAAACAGAGCTGACAAAAATGTAAATTTAGTTTTTAAATTGGTAAATATTTCAAGAAAAAAATCCAGTGAGTTTTAGAGCAGTTGAAGAAGAATCTTGATTCTTCCTCATTTGCTTGTATAATTTCTGTCAGGAAAACCAAAGAAAAATAGACTAGGATATCAAAATGTCAAAGGTATTGATTTTAAACTCTCAAAGCTCATCAAAATAATTTACCAAAAATTTTGGTTATTCTTTCTTCTCCACGTAACAGAACTGACCTAAGGGGCAGAGCATCAGCGGCCTAAAGAGTCTCCCTAAAAGAGCACTCCTGCTTTGGGTCCTATTTTCAATATTTAATGCAAAACTTGCTGTCTCCCACCTTCACCAGTTCTCGCTCAGGGAAGTGAGTGAGCTGACAGAGATGACAGCCTATCCTTCAGTTGATACCTTGTAGGGTATTTGACAGAAAGATCTTGAACTAAGGTTAGCATGATTTCACCCCAATCCTGCCATGTCATAACCTCTACCTTCCTGCCCTGGCCAGTGTAGCTCAGTTGGTTGGAGCCTTATTCTGTGCACTGAAAGGTCTTGGGTTCGATTCCAGTCAGGGCACATACCGAGATTGCAGGTTTGATTCCCGGTCAGATGTGTATGGGAAGGCAACCCATTGATGTTTCTCTTACATCAATATTTCTCTCTCTATCTCTCTCCCTTCCCCTCTCTCTAAAATCAATAAGCATGTCCTCCAGTGAGGATCTAAAAACAAAACATAACCTCTACCTTCCTCCCCTCATTCACTCTGTTATGCCTCATCCATCCTTGACCTGAAGTTGGAACTAATGCCACAGGGCAAAGGGCACAACACACATAAAGGCAAGGGTAACAAGATTTGCCTTTATGTGGTATTCCAATGAGTAGTCACTTGCTGTCATTATGCTAGTTCAACCTAAGTTTCCCTGGTTGCTCTATTTCCTAGTTATACATAATCACATTACATTTCTTAATTAACTTATTTATTGGTATGATTCATTCACCTCCTGACAGACATCATTCTCTCCAGATTCAGGAGCTAGGGAAGATGGAATACTGCTACTCCCTACAGGCTCTGAGTGTAGGTGCAAAGTAAACATTTACCAAATGGTCTTTAAATAGAGTCTGAGACTGGGGAATTTACCTTCCTTATTGTTCATGTCCAAATTAAACTTAAAGAATGATTTTTCTGGAATTTTCCAGAAATGAGTCTAGTGAGTTTTTCTTATTGTCCTATTATGGTTGAGGCTGGGATCCACATTACAAATGCACCTTAATCCCTCAGCCCCTGGGTTTGTCAGTTCCTTGAGCATGTGGGAGGTTCAGGTTGAGTTCTGGACAGAAGCAGAATGTTTCAGCATGAGATTAGTTGAAACAGCTGAGGATTCTGAGCAGGTGAGCTGGACTGGAACCTGTTGAGAGAAGGGTAGTACCTTCTAGCCAGCCCCAGTAGGAGCAAAGGGAGGGAAGGGAATGACCTTGAGGAGGATGGGATTTATTGGAAGCTAATGAAATGGAAGTCTCCCTGACTTTAAGCCAGAGAGAGATACTTCTGGCTTAACGTATCTCTCTTGCTCAAAGAGAGTAGGAGAGGGAATTTACATTCTAGAACACATCCCTATTTTTCTTACGATGACTTCTTTCTTCAATCACATTGGGACACATCTTTTTAAAGCTTCCATTTATTGAGTAATAAATATGAACCAGGAACATTGCCAAAGGCTTTACATACATGAGATCATTGTTTTCAGAACAATCATATAAGATATGTATAATTATGACTCCTACCATGCAAGAGTATACATGAGGAAACCAAGGCTTTATTTGTTAAAAAATGGACCCATGGAAAGAAGCCAAGATTCTCTTGATGGTCTGACCACCTCTTATCACTAGACTGTACTTCTTCTCTTTCATGAACAAAAGCACCGGCTTCTACACAAAGGCTACTTTCCAGAGGGTAAACCACAAACATTGCTAAAACATTGAATAGTCAAGGATTCAATAACAGTCACTGCCTACCTGTTAGAAAGGAACATAAATAAATAAATGCTGTTCTAGAAACAGTTTATAGCTAGGGGTGAAAGGGAAAATATTTTGTGCTTAAAATTTTAGTTTTAATCATAGTACATTAATTATATAGTTACTTATATAAATAGAATTAATTAACAATATATTAACATTCATTTATATTAATGCTAGTTGAAGCCTAAAATGGTTTGAAACCATATTAGGAAAGGTTTGCATAAATACAAGGCGAAGCTCCTTAAGTAGTAGACAAGACGATGAAACCAGTCAGAGAAAGAGAGAGCATTTCCTCTTTACTAATTAATAAGTCAAGGTTTGGGCTTTAACTGGCATTCTCATGCATTGCTAGTGGGGGTATAAAATGGTGAAACTACTTGGGAAAAGGGTTTGGCAGTTCCTTATAAAGTTAAACATATATTTAACATATGGCCCAGCACTGAGTATTTACCCAAGAGAAATGAAAACACTTGTTCATAAATAGACTGGGGCAGCCCTGACCAGGGTGGCTCAGTTGGTTGAGCATTGTCTCATGCACCAAAAGGTTGCTGGTTCCATTTCTGGTGGGGGCACATGCCTGGGTTGCTGGCTGCATCCCCAGTACGGGGTGTATGTATGGGAGGTAACCCAATCAATGTTTCTCTCTCACATTGATGTTTCTCTCTTTCTCCCTC